ATTGAATTGGTGAGCCAATCTTGAGGGGGAACTGATGTTCTTAACGTATGTTTAAAAGAGGCCGTTAGTGCGTGTTTACATACAGTATCGGAGAGAAGGCCATTAGTGCTTCTCGAAGTCACAGTGTCTAGAAGAAGGCCCTGAGTGCGTCTGCTAGATACACCTATCGTGGATAAACGAAGGCCCTGAGTGCGCCGTTTGTTCACAACCCAACGTATAGATAAGAATATCGATCAGCGGTCCTTCATCATTGGTGCTTTCATTGAGAGGTGCTGATCGATTTTTTTCCTATCTTATCTTTTTATTTTTTCGGTTTGCCTTTTGCTGAGGGACCGAATTTTTGTTATTTTTTGTTCGAAATTTCCGAATTAATATTCGAATTTTTCATTATTTTCGTGTCTTAAAAAAAAAAAGTGTCATCTTGTTAGTCCTTTGTTTGATTTTTGTTCAGTTATTACCTTTTGTTGAGGGGCCGAATTTCTTCTTTGTTTCGATTTTTTAGTCTTGTTGGGGGTTCGAATTTTCGGTTTTTTCCCCTATTATTTTCGAACTTTTTTAGAGTCAAAAATAAAAAAAATTTAATATTTATGATGTCAAACCGTGAGAGGATTCAAGCCTTGGAAGACAACATGAAGATCATCGACGATGGTCAACATGCTACCAACGAGAACTTGGGATGGATCGAACTAATGGTCCAGGACTTGGCCGGGCAACTAACGCGCATGAACATACGGCCAAGGAAACGACACGGGTCGCGGTCCACGACAGTAAGCACCGGGACCGAGCGCGAGGATGATCGCCGATCACGGGGCACACACGCATCACACGCAGATCACCATCGCGACGGCCGAAGACGACACGATGGACGCGCACACCACGACCGTAGGCGCGAAGAGGATGACGACCGACAGTCGTACGCATCGTACGCATCGCGGGCCTCACACGATGAGCGTCGGGCACGACGCGACGACCGCGAGCACTACAACGAGGGCCGACGATGCCATGAACGACGGGACGAGGGACAGGCCCGGTATCACGATCGCGACGATCCACGGGACGACAGGGCGGGCAGACGGCCAAAAATTATTATGCCCACGTTCACGGGAACAGAACCGGATGCGTGGTTGTGTCGGGCTGAGCAATTCTTTGAGATCAATGATGTGCCAAGGTACGAATGAGTTCAAATTGCTACTTATCACCTTGATGGAGAAGCAAACGTCTGGTGGCAATGGGTAGTGCACAAAAACCGGGGTGAGCACATGCGTTGGAGCGATTTTGAAAAAGAGCTCATCACGAGGTTTGGCTCGAGTGACTACCACGATTACAACGAGGCTTTGTCAAGAATCAAACAAGTGGGTAGTCTAAGGGATTATCAAAAGGAGTTCGAACGCATTGCTAGTAGAGTACGGGACTGGCCCGAGGCTGCGCTAGTGGGGACGTTTGTTGGAGGACTTAAAGCTGAACTGGCAGCCGAAGTGAGGTTGGACAGGCCAGGATTGATGCGAGCAGCCATAGAGTCGGCTAGATTGCACGAAGATCATCTCGTGGCGGTACGCAAGGCAAGGCCGAGCGAAGTGCGCACGGAGACCAAGCGCACGACTGAGGAGCAAGCGGCTCGAGCCGAAAGCAAGCCGATGGGCGAGACTGTTCGAACCACAAGCAACATACGGCGGCTTACGATGGATGAAGGATGGATGGTGGATACCGGCAGAAGATTGTGTGAGGTTGAAGGGTTGGGACCCATGGCCATCAGGCGAGTGCTCGAAGGAGGTCGGCGAGCACTTGGAGTCAGCTGGCGACAAGGGTGCGAGTACAAGCGAAAAGCGCGCATCGTGCCTTGATGCGCGCAAGGGGTCGAATAAGCGGAGATTTGCCTATTGAAGAGGAGAGTGATGTGGAGGTACTGAATTCTCTTATCCTTGGGGACAAGGAGTCTTGAAGAGGAGGGGAATGATACGGAAGTGGAGTGTTAGGGACCGGAGAGTCTAGTCAGGGGCTGAAGGGCAAAAGGTGTGCATCGGCACTTGATGCACACGAGTGGGCGAACAAGCGAGCCACGCGGGATTGGCAAGGAGTACGCAGGCGCGTAGTTGGCGGATGCACGGGTGTACGTGGGGGCGCCGTAGGTGATCTGGGCGCGGGCGGTAGCTGGGACGCGCGGGGGTCACGACGGGAACGGATGAGGCGCGAAGGGCGCGCAAGTAAGCGACACGCGGGCGCGCGAAGTAACGCGCGCGAGAAGATCAGCAATGACGAGGGGCGCGCGATGGCACGCGAGTGCAGCGAAGGCGCGGGCGCATGCCTATGCGCGGTAGGCATAGGCGACGGGAGATGGCAGCACGCGCAGGGGAAGAACGGCGATGGCTGGGCGCGCGCAAGCGCGCGCGTGCGATACGGACACGCGAGTCCTAAGGCGCCGAGGATTAGGCAACACGGACGGGCGTCGCACGCATAAGGCGAGAGGGCGGCCGAGATTTTTGAACATGTGGGATTTTAGGGAGCTTCTAGATTTGCTTGGTGTGCAAGCCAAGCAATAGTTATTTGGTAGCTTTAGGATTTTATTGCTTTCTAGAGTTAGGATTTATTTTATTGCATAGAATAGGAGATCTAAATCTATTAGGCTTAGAGATAGTTGGTATCTATAAATACCCCATGTACCTCATAATATTTTACAAGTGGAATGAAGTATTGAATTGGTGAGCCAATCTTGAGGGGGAACTGATGTTCTTAACGTATGTTTAAACAAGGCCGTTAGTGCGTGTTTACATACAGTGTCGGAGAGAAGGCCATTAGTGCGTCTCGAAGTCACAGTGTCTAGAAGAAGGCCCTGAGTGCGTCTGCTAGATACACCTATCGTGGATAAACGAAGGCCCTGAGTGCGCCGTTTGTTCACAACCCAATGTATAGATAAGAATATCGATCAGCGGTCCTTCATCACTGGCGTGCGCTGGGGCGCTGTGCGGGCGCTGGCGTGCGCCGGCGGGGCGCTGTGCGGGCGTGATGACGGATCGATCTTTTGTCTATACTGGGTTGCGAATAAACGACGCACTGAGGCCTTCGTTTATCCCCGATAGATGTATCTAGCAGACGCATTGCGGCCTTCTCCTAGACACCGTTACTTCAAGACGCACTATTGGCCTTCTCTCCGACACTGTATGTAAACACGCACTGACGGCCTTGTTTATCACACGTTAGAACATAAAGTTCCCTCAAAATTGGCTCACCAATTCAATACTCAATTCAAGACATAAAATATGATGGGGTACATGGGGTACTTATAGTTGCAAAATAAATCTAAGCCTAATAGATCTAGATCTCCTATTCTATGCAATAAAATAAATCCTAACTCTAGAAAGCAATAAAATCCAAAAGCTACCAAATAACTATTGCTTGGCTTGCACACCAAGCAAATCTAGAAGCTCCCTAAAATCCCACATGTTCAAAACTCTCGGCCGCCTCACTTGTCCGCGTCGCACGCG